TATATATATATATAAAACACAATACAATGAAAATATGGAAGAACATATACAATTTATAACTTAAGTAATGATAATTCAAACTACTGACAGTTACATTTACCTAATTTATAGCTATTTTTGAAACTGTTAAAAAGTTTTTTTTATAGTTCTTTATTGGCTCAGAATGAAAACAGATAAAATTAAAAACTCATGTGAAATGGTAGGAATGTAATTTTATGAAAAACTTATTTAAACTTACTATTATGTATAAATAAAAATTTCATAAAATTACATATAAATTAACACTTTTCTAATAATATAAATCATAAAAATACTTTTTTTTATTTTTATTAAAGTTACTTCAATTTCAAGGTATAAAATAAAGAATAAAATATGAACCTAAGGCAAGAAAAATCAAATATTTAGTGCGATCTAGAGGAATAACTTATAGTATTTTTGCAAAACTTTTTAAAATTATTTTAAGTTCTTTTAATCATCAAAAATCACTATTTAAAAAAATACAGAAGCCTGTTCAAGTAAAACATTTGTCTTGATTCAACATCAATATCCGATTCAACATCTTTTTAGAACTTTCTTCGATTCTCTCTGAAAATTTGAAAATTGCATCAGTGGTTTCAGTTTTTTAATTCTTTGGAGTAAATGACCCCTCCGACTATGGTCTAAGTATTCTAAGAAATCTCATGGTTCTATCCTGTTTTGTTTCTTATTTACATTATTGATCTTCTTGACAACCTTATATTTAAAGTGATATAAGTTATATTTAAAGTTGAATCATCAGCTCTGCTGATGATTCAATTTTACACTCCTATCTTAACAAAAAGTATTATTTTTTTTGATCTTAGAACAACTGATTTCAGTAAAACTGTAACAGAGATTGCCATGTGAAATTTAACCCTAAAAAAAACTCATTTATTTACTGCAAACAATTGATGCAAACAAGCAATATTGCAACTGCTAACAAACGATATTGTAATACTATCAACATTCCAATATCGATGTCATCAATAAATGATGAGCAGCAACCCTCTCGCTGATCCACTTCTTTACATCTTTTTAGATTACCACTCGCAACTGACCTTTCATGAAAAACATATATACAATTGATTGCTAAATTAGCATCTGTTAAGGTTGTTTCTCTTTAACAAGCTTGCTATTTTCATACTCCTGATTCTATTTTCGACCTCTAGAATCCTCTCATTCGCCACTGTATGGAAAACTGTTGTCATATTTGGGTCAGTACTTCTAATGATGTTCTATTACCTTTAGATAAGGTACAAAAATGAATTGTAATCATAGTCAAACCTGCTTCATCTACCAAACTTGAGCCTCTCTCATTGTCATAAAGTTGCATCTCTATCTTTTTCTATAAAAATGTTAATATTTAACTTTTAATATGTTAATATTCTGCTTATATACTAAAAATAATTTCATTCTGTTAATATATTTATATTCAAATTTTAGCATTTTTATTTTAAAAAAAGGTATTAATAATGCATGCACATACACATAAAATATTTTTATACACATACACATAATATTTTAATTTAAGCAGAATACTTTATTTATTTGATTAAGACAACAAGTACAGTACAAGATCTATAGTAAAGATAAAAATAAAATTAAAAAAATAAATACTCAATTAAAAATTCTGTTTAATCTATACGCAGCTTCTATGCTGCTGGCACAGGTAACTAACTGATTGATAAGGCTAAGTCTGTAGTTACACAATAATGTATCTGATAGTATCTATTAAGTGACCCAGATACTTGAATTTTTCAATGAAAACTCATTCACATCCAGCTAGGGTAAACAGTGGAAAATTGCTTGACACAATCTTACATCTCTTTTTTGGGTTAAATACCATACACACCATTTTTTATATAGAGATTGCAATTGCTCTGTAATTATTTACACCTAACTTTAGATTTTAGTAGAGTTGTTATCATGGCTTCACAAAATGTTGATGGCAAATTTATATACAAGAAGCATTAATTAAAAAAAATACTTAGATAGAGAGAAAGTGTCTCTATGTCTATATGACATAGAGACACTTTCTGTCCTCTACGTCATATAGTCTCCATTTATAAATGATTCTGGGTCAATATGTCCTCCAAATATAAATGATTTTAACAAGTCATCTGGTCCAGCAGATTTTCTATTTTTTTACTTATGCAAAGCATTAGTAACATCTTTAATAGTAACTCTAAAGGTATGTCTAGCAATGAAGAATGTACTTTCTGTTCAAAGTGTTTGCCTCAGAAAATACCACACCCAACTTGTTTTTCTGCACATCGATTTTGTTAAACAATTTTTATTAGCCAGAATTTAGGGCTGGGATAAAAAAGTGCATAGGTTTTTGTGTGCTGACATACATTGAATACATAAGCTTTAGGTATTTCTACTATTACTAATAGCATGTACTAATTTATATACTACATTTAAACAGCGGTATACACATCTTTTTTTTGTCAAAAATTTCAAAAATTTTGAAATTTGTGTTAAGTGATTTTCTACTAACTTATATAAATATATATATATGTGTGTGTGTATATATATATATATATATATATATATATATATATATATATATATATATATATATATATATATATATATATATATATATATATATATATATATATATATATATATATGTAATATTTATATGTAATATATATGATATATATCTCATATAATTATATATATATATATATATATATATATATATATATATATATATTATATATATGAAATATTTATATGTAATATATATATATATGTGTATATATATATATATATATATATATATATATATATATATATATATATATATATATATATATATATATATATATATATGTTATATAACGCTGATTTAATCATATAATAACGCTGATTTACCATTAACTTTTTACCATTATATAATAATAACATTAAATAGTTGGTAAAAATTTTTTAGCATGCACCAAAAGTAGGTTTTTGTTGTTTTTGTATTGTTTTCCGTTTGCGCGTAAGTATATATAACTTTCCAGGTCCGCACTTTAAACAATTTTCACAACCTACTTTTGGTGCATGCTAAAAATCGCTAACCGATTTATATGTTGCTTCTTTTAACAACATCGATGAATGAAAAACTAGGCTGATGATTATCTTCTTTTCTTGATTTTTTCAATTTTTTAATACGGGTACTTTTCCTTCCGAAACGATTTTATAACAAACATTTTCTTGCACGAAACTCATTTCAATAGAAAAAGAATAAACAAATTAATACTTTTTTAATAAAATTTTTTAAAGACGCAAAATGTACCTTACCAAAAAGCGTCGCACAGTGCGGCAGAATAGCTTTAAAATGGACAAAATTAGTTTTTTTTTGTTTTGGATTTTTAAGTTAAATAATTATTTTAAGGGCACTTGTTAGACTTAGGAAAAGATACTCTAAAGTTTTTTAAATATTTATTTACAATTATCAGACGTTTTTAACGTATTTTCGAGTAATTTAGTGTAAAGTTTTTTAAAAAACCGGTAAGTGACGACATTAAAAAGAAAAAATCAAAAGCTTGCATGAATAAATAATATTAAAACGTATTCTAATTGGTTAAATAAAATAAATTTCAGTAATTCGAATTTAATGTAAAAAGTCACTACTCAAAAACACGGTAAGTTGAGCAGCCGTGATAAAGTGGCGTACTTGCCTCAGAAACAAAGGAACCGTGGTTCAAACCCCACACCTGGGCAAGTTTTGTGACATCGGTTAGGAAGGAAACGTGAACTTCCAATTAAATGCTTATCCGCGGTGCTCTGTGATAAGACCATAATGACTTCTTGAGGCACCTAAATAAATAAAAAAAATTTATTTGCTTAAAACAAATCTTACATGGCCTTGTTTTGTTACGTGGTTTCTACTGATGTAATTAATACATTTCCACTAATTTTTTTGTTATTTAGGTGCTCCCAGAAGTCCTTACAGTCTTATCACGGTGCACCGCAAGTGAGCATGTAACTAGAAGTTCACGCCTCCATCTTTACCAATGTCGCTTATTGGGGCTAGAGCCGGCTTCGAACCTCGGACCTCTTGGTTCAAGCCAGAACTCTAACCACTGCGCCACGGCTGCACTGAAGGGCACAAAAAAAAATTTTTAATGCACTATTTTTAAATACCTATTAACGTATATTTTAAGCACTTTAAGATTATTTTTTCATTACCAAATGATAGAGGCAAACCTAAAACTGAAGAATCACTAAAGAAAATTTAGAATTTTTAACAAACTTTAGCTTGAACATTATAAATACAAAGTAAAATTAATAACTCGCGCAAGAGAGTTATTTTTTAAACAAAAAAACTTGAGCTAGATTATGGGTACTACAGGGTTAAAAGTTAGCCCTACCCTAAAAAAAACATGTGGATAAGATGGACCAGGGACTCTTTTATACATTACCACCAAAAAATAATTTATAGCACCTTTTTTCATTTTCGCTTTTTTCATTTTTTATTTCCAGTTTTGAAGCATATCTGCCCCACTGTGCGTCGCATAGGCAGTTTTTTTGTTTCCAACTTTTTTTTTTTTTTTCTAAAATGTATGAAGTTTATTTGTATAATTTTGTTAGAAAATCAATGTTATTTAAACAATATTTGAAACTTAGAATGTAACTCAGTACCCAATGGTAATTCACGTTGTAAAATATTTGCTTTAATTGGATACTATATTGATGATAAAAGGTGGTTTAGGAAATTATATATTTTAACACAGCTTTTTGTTCATTATAAATAAGTAAATTGTTTCGCAATTAAACTAAAAAAACAAATCCCACGAATCTCAGCAATTTTTATAAGTTCTCTTTTAAAATAAAAAGAAGCCGCAGGCAAAATCTTGTCTGGAGATAGCAAAGCTTAACAAAGCAGTTAAATATAATTAAATATAGCAATGTTTTTAATTCTGACTTCCGTAACTGTGCGCAATAAAATCAAACAAAGCATCATCTATATGTTATTAAGAACTTTAAATATTTTTTATATTTATACTATATTTATAATAATTGTTTAATGAAAATAACTATATCTTAAAGAATGATCAGTATGGTCTGAAAGGTCCGTATAGCGTCGATTACAAGGTTCTTGATATATTATTTTGTGGAAAGTTCTTTTGTTGAAGTTTTCTTCATGTGAACACCTCAAGTCAGAAAATCTATTTTTATGTCTTTTTCCGCCATAGTACAAGCAAGATCTTGCAGTGCAAGTATGAGGAAGAGTGGGTTTAATCAAAGAAGAATTATCATATCCGAGGTGTTTATTGTCTGTAATATGTGAGCAAGAACACGATTGTTTGTTTGCAATAAACGAACGTTTAACTATTGGCGTTACTTCTAATATTGGAACTTCAGGAATTGAAATCTGGCTGTCCTGATGATATTCTATAGCCGAACTACATACTGAGTTACTAGGGGAATTTCCGAATGATAATTTTTCTCTTTTTCTCCATTTTGCGCGTCTATTTTGAAACCACACCTAAAATAAAGATCAATAACAAAAATATTTTAATTAAGCAAATAAATTGCGTAATGAGTTAACTTTAGTGTGCTTTTTATGAGATTGGAAGTAACAGCAAAATGACCTTTTTTATTATAAAGTATTTTATTTAAAAACTATATAAAAAAAAGAAAAGAAAATTTTAAACTTTTTATTTAACTACCTGTACTCGAGCTTCACTTAAATCAAGCTTTAATGCCAAGTTTTCGCGAGTAAAAACGTCTGGGTATTGTGTTTTATCAAATGATCGCTCTAACTGATGCAGCTGATATGTTGTAAATGTAGTTCGATTTCTTCTTAATTTTTGGCGGTTTTCTCCTTCAATTTCGTCATTTTTAATCTCTGATGAAATGGGAGAGTTGAATCGAATCGTTGAACTCACGTTGATACCTACAACCAAAAACGCAGTGGATAGCATTTAGGTTTAAGTGACACACAATAATGATAACAGTTATTATTAGCCAAAAACATGTTAACAGATAATTTGAATGTATTCTCTATTTACCTTTTTCTTGGTTAAACTCTCGTTGCAGTTTAACATCATTCTGTTGCTTTTCTTCACTTTTACTGTTACCAAGTATCATATCGATGCTAAACTGCATCTTTGCCATAGGTTTGTGTATCATTTACTAAATATGTTACTTTTTTAGTTCAGATTTAATATTTTAGCTCTTCTTAAGACTGTTTTTTATATATATAACTAAAAAAAATAACAAAGAATATAAAGCTCAGTAACATATTTTAAAAATAAGTTTGCATAAAAATAAATATCAAATAAAAATCCATAAAATTTTTTAATGTATTGTTAAGTTTAAATTTCTTATGGCATACATATATATATATATATATATATATATATATATATATATATATATATATATATATATATATATATATATATATATATATATATATATATAAATAAGTATATATATATATATATATATATATATATATATATATATATATATATATATATATATATATATATATATATATATATATATATATATATATATTATATATATATATATATATATATATATATATATATATATATATATATATATATGTATATATATATAAATATATAAACGATATATATGTATATATATATATATATATATATATATATATATATATATATATATATATATATATATAAACGTTATATTATGCACATCTAATACATTTAATAATCGTCTTAGCAATGACAAACTTATTTAACTTACCCTACATTTATATAAAACAAGTACCTCCTGCCCATGTCTATATATAAAACGCACCATCAACAAATAAAGCATCTATGTGAACTAATGAAGAGTTAAGCTGACTGCAAGTTTATTTCGAAATGAAAAAAAAATGGCTTCATTATTATGGATTAGCACCAGATTGCAATTGATAGCTGGGTACTTCAAAGTTAACAATAGCGCAAGTAATTTAATATTATTTAATCAAATTAATTTTTTTCTTTCTGTTACTTTTTGTTTACAAAGTCCTCTGTAAAAAACGTTTACTTGCAAGAAAAATTATTTTTAAATTTGCCTAAGATTATTATGCAGGTCTGAAAATTGCATTAAAACCTTATAAAAAGTATGTTAGCCAGTAAGCTTTGTAAGTTTGAACTTTTAAACTTGCTTACAGACGTAAATGAATCTCCTGTATGCCATTGATTAAGTAATCAATTTTAGTAATAATTAATAAAGTTTAGTAATAATCAGAGTTAATTAAAATAATTAAAATCTGTATAAAATGCTTTATCAAAAAAAAAATCATTCTCGTTAATTACAACTGATTTGAAATGATTGGTTTGGGGAGTGGGTAAAAAATTTGTAAACAAAAAAAAAATCTAACGACATAATAATAATTTGAATATTTATCCACTTGCTAAACCATTTTATTCGTTGCACTCTGCGACAAAATATGTAATCCGGAAGCAACTTTGACAAAAGTAGAACAATAGTTTAATTAACTCTATCAAAACACTAATCGTAATTTTCTACCTTTAAATAATTCACAGGTGTTTTAAAAGACATAAAGGTAATAAGTTATGATTAAAATGAATTAAAATGTAACATGATTGTGTAATTTATCAACAGGCATTAAGACAATTGCTATAATTCAGAATTAAAATCTACATAATTAATATAAAAAGTATTTAAATAATTAATAAGTATTTTATTACGTAAATGATGTCTGAATTTTGTATTTTTAAAACAAATTTTATTCGTTTGTCTCATTAATTTAACTTAGATTATATTCTTTATGGCTTTAATAAGATTTCCGCACTCTTACCGATGAATGTTTATATCACTGCGGTTGGGGTAATCTTCACAGCGAGTATTTTGTTCAATGCCAATTGTAATGCATTGCAACTTTAATATGCAAACACTTATTATAAAACAATGTATAAATTATAAATCAATGTATACAAGGAACAATTATAATTCAAAACAATGGTTTTATTAAAAAAAAATTAAAAACATTACTTTTAAATGATTTTATTTTAATTTTGTAAATAGTTATATATATATGTATATATATATATATATATATATATATATATATATATATATATATATATATATATATATATATATATATATATATATATATATATATATATATATATATATTTAGCAAAATTTACAAAATTAAAAAAAAACTATTTAAAAGTAAGGCTTTTAATTTTTTTTTAATAAAACCAATGTTTTAAATTACAGTTGTTCATTATATATATATATATATATATATATATATATATATATATATATATATATATATATATAATATATATATATATATATATATATATATATATATATATATATATATATATATATATATATATATATATATATATATATTTGTTTAACTTAAATTTAGTTGCAATAAAAAAATAAAAATAAAACTATAATTGAAATAAACATAAAAATACGACAAATTGAATTTATCTTTCTAATCGGATTTCAACAAACTTCTAAACAATAGGTAAGAAAAATAATTAAGCAAATTAATATGCAAGGAAAACAATTAAGTTACCACAGGGATGCAATTATGTTTTTTGCAACAGATTATCCATCTTCATAGATTGTGTGGGAAATTTAATTTTTAAAAGTTGTTATATTTTATAAAAATATTTTTTACTTTTAACTTTAAAAACTTTTGTTAATACTTTTTATTAGAGACAAATTTTTTTCTATTTACCATAAATTAACAAAGTTAAAAAAACATTAACTTTTTCTCCTTGTTTCTTATTTTTCATAATAAGGTAACTCGACACCAAATGGAGAAAAAAAAGGAATTATTTTTGCATATAATTTTATTTTATAGATTAAAAGTGTAGTTTTGTAGTATAAATTAGCAGCATATGAGATGTGAAACAAAATTTAATTTTTAAAATTTTTTTTATTTTATAAAATTACTTTTTACTTTTAACTTCAAAAACTTTTTTTAATACCTTTTATTAGAGACAAACTTTCAAGTCAAAGTCAAACTAAATTTACAACTACTTAATAAACTTTTATAAAGTTCAATTAAAATATTGGTGATTTAAAAACGATTAAGTGACAAGCCCAATTTATATATTAATAAATGCGGTTAAACATTTGAGTTTATTATTAATTTGCAATCTATATCAGATGTTGAACAGTCGTTAAATGTTTCTATATCTTTTTTTGAGTTAAACAGAATATATTAGTATTAAAAACCAAAACCAAAATTAAATATTATTATCATGAAAAACTGAAACTAAACCAAAAAAAATTTCTTTTTAACTTGATTTATTTATTTTACTGACTCAGCAGAAGTGGATTTAAACCCTGTCAAGTCCTGAAAGTGACTGGATAAAAAAAATTAATATTAATATTGGAATTATGACCTGCCTAATAATTAGATTGCTGAGTTTTATATTTTTGATTGAAAATGTTTTTAAAAAAATGTTTACAACGAAACCTTTAGTAAAATAAATTGCAGCGGTCGCATAATTTATTTTTATATATTGTAATTTATTATACAAAACTTGCTAATGTAAAATATACTTTGCAGGATATGAGAAAATTGGATACGTTAATTGGTTCCTCGCTATCAAAAGTAGCAATCTGAATCGTTTGAAAATAAATTTTGTAGTGTAAGCTATACCTTGCAGCATCTGCAGCAGTAAGCATTTGATTGTTTGCATATGTACTTCGTCGTATCAAGATTTAACAAAAGTTTTCTCAAAAAAGTTGTGGTTAAATCATAATAAGTACAGTGCTTTTAAATTTTAAAAATTAAAGCATGCCATATACTTGCATTCAAAGCTTTTTAAAAAGATTTGAAGTTATTTTATTAATTCAAAACATAACTGCAGTGTTTTACCAATTTGAACCAAAATTATTCTTATTTATTTCTTTATTTTTACCATATTTAAGGATCTTATTAACGAAAATGCTGAAAACAACTTTAAAGAAAATTTTTGGACCTTTTTAGTCAATTTTTGGTTAGTGCCCCAAATTTTGGTTTCCAGGTTACATTGAGTTAAGCATGAATTTCACTGTTATTGTTTGATGTCTACTATCATACAATGATTTATACAACGATTGGATGTACCCAAAATAGTTCTTGACTACAGTACAGAATTGACGTCAGATAAATTGAGGTTACGCGCACTGCAATGCATGTACAAAGCTTAAGAATTTTTTTCAAGAATGATGACCTACACTTCTTTGTATACACCGGAAAAACTAGCTCCCATATCATAGCCCTAGCTTCTACAGTTCTTTAACTTAATTTGGCCATGAGCAAAAACGTCTAGCATCAGTTTCGCGATATCGGCACCCTTCTTTTTTTTCTGATTTTCTATCTACAGAAAATGCTCCAAAACTATCAATAGGTTGTCAAACTTAAAGTAGATGAATCAAAAAAACAAAGGCTGTTTGCTTTGTTAGGGACACGTCCGTTCCATCAATAAAAACGGAAAAATATGGTTGTGTATGAAATTATTTATTAGTTCCAGCAAATATCCGGCTAAAATAGTGGGTTTACACCTTTGTTCTTTGTTTTTGGAGCATTTTAATGTGCTTCCTTATGTAGTATACTTACTTTTTTTTTTTTTGACTTGTGTTTATTGTGCTTAAAGAGTAGCTAAAAAGGTTACTATTATTGTCTTCGGCCAGCATGTTTGATGAATCTACACTAATATGAACATAATATTGAAAAATACATTACATCTAGATTTATAATTATACCAGTATATAATTTATGAATATAAAATTTAAACACATTTTGAAAACATGTCTAGTTTGCTATGCTAGGACGCAGCGTAGAGTTTCACACTACTTATATGCATTTCTTATTAACTTTTCATGTTCTGAATTTACCACGGTCCACATTTTCAATGTGTCGAAAGAAAATATACCTATTTCCAGATGATTCAGTGTTTCTGTTATAAAAATGCTGACTTTTAATCTTTTTTCTTTTTTTTGACGCTTTCACCAATTATCTTTTATTCTGTCATATAGTTTATACAACACATAAATCTAAATCATACATTCATCTGACTAATTAAAGAAACTACATTAAAACTACTTATAAAACGAATAACTTTACTCCACCTTTTATACTTTTTATACCAGTTACGTTTTACATTAACAGTTTAGATAATCGTGTGCATGACTGTTCATAATTTATACTCTCACGCCTCGATTATTTTTTC